GGGCTGGAGAAATCGCAAAACATACTCTAGGGGATGCTAGCACCACGAGGGAGCCGTAACAGTGGGGAACGCTCTCCAGTGAAACCTTGTCTTAAAGCTCACTAGTGTGCTTCAAATAGAGGGAAAATTAGTCCAGAGATAAGAATAGAGAAGGCAGAATGATTGATGTAGGAGGAGTGGAGTCTCCCTGTCAACTGCATTAGCTGCCAGCAACCTCAACAGCTGCGTGTCAAAAGGGCAGGGGAGTGCGATTTTCTACCCTCATCACAACTGAGAAATGTAGGCTTACATCAACCACGTTTTGGTTCAGTTCAGTTGTGTGTGTGTATACACAGAGTTTGTAAAGCCAGAAAAAGAAAGTTGTCTAGCTGTTTAACTTTCGTGCAAGTTGGTTTTTATTATTCTTCAACTTGGTAAGGGCTTTAAGATTACTTTTCTCATTTTGAAACTCTGAGTCAGGCTTTTAATTTGTTTCCATTTGTATCAGATTTATTTATTTATTTATTTAGGTACTAGAAATTGAACACAGCAGCTTGCGCTTGCCGGGTTGGTACTTAGTGGCTGAGCTATCTCTCCGGCCCCGTTGTGGCTTGAATTTTGCATATATTTCTTTTCTTTTCTTTCGGCAGAACCGGGGATTGAACTCAGGCCCTTGCACTTGCCAGGGAAGCACTTATTCCACTGAGCCATCTCCCCAGCCCCATTGCATATATTTCTTAACTGCTTATATGAATATATAGAAAATCATAGCAAGCCAAATACGCAGTGCTGTGTGAGAACAAAGTCTTCATGACAAGTATCACACTTGCTGTTGACAAAAATACCAGGAGAAAGACCAGATGGACAGAGCTCAGTGTCAAATTGCGAAACATGGTGAACAAGTTCACAACTCTGATTTCATTTTGGTTTTCAAACAGAATTAAACACAGGGCCTTTACACTAAGCTACATCCCCAGTCCTTTTAAATATGTTTCTTTCTAAATTATTTCGGAGAGAGTCTCACAAAGGCAGTAAGTTCCATGCCTAGGCTGAGCTTGAATTTGCCTTCCTCCTACCTGCCTCTAAGTGCTGAGGCTCCAGCTGTGTGTCACTATGCCAAGACCAGCATGATGTTTTCTAAAAGACTGGTTTGTACTTGACAATGCTGAATTCACATTCTCCTCAACTTCACAGACAACTAAGGATAAAATAAAAACTGTTATAGGCAATCTAAATTAAAATCATATTGGGGCCATGTAACGTAAAAACCAAGTAAACACACTGTCGTGGAATCAAGTAGCTCGAATCCAGGATCTAACACATAAAGCATGTCTTCTCAATAGCTGTGGTCTTGGGAATCGATTGGGAACTGACCTCAGTTGGGTCTGGTGAGTAAGAAAGTATTCTTGCACTGTGCAGAGGAACTTGGATAAACATGGGGGAAGGTGGGGAGGAGAAGAAACCACGTACTTCTCCATTCTCAGGAAAAGGAAGTCGTGGTGACATCAACCTCCACTGAAATCTAACATGTTTATATCTTGAATTCTTAAGTACCAGAATGCTTTCTGAAGAGTTATTAAGTAACTATGAGAGATAAATTCATATTTGTCTTAATATTTATTTCCTCGTCTGTTCACTTACTCAACAGATATTAAGCACTGATGACATGTCTGGTAGAGGAAATATAATAGTAAGTGGAGGGAAAGATATAGTGCCTACTTCCAAGAAATTGGGAGTTGAGTGCACCATTAGAATAGAAGTTAAGGGGCTGGGGAAATGGCTCAGTAGAATAAGCACTTGCGTGGCAAGCAGTATGGCCTGAGTTCAATCCCTGGTTCTGCAAAAAAAAAAA